TATATTTCTTCCTTTTTTTTTCAAATACAATCCTTATACTCATCCCTTAATCTCTATGTTTTTATATTTTACTGAATTTTCAGACTGGATTCATTCTCGGCCTTTGATTTGTTGCAGTGACTTTGGGCTGGCTGCCCAATTCAAATACGGCTGCTTCTCTTGGAGGGCAGCCTGACTGTTATTTCCCTGCTAAACCGGCATTACCAGAAAAGAAATTTTGTTACAAAAGCATTAAGTAAAGACTACAGAAACCTGCCCGGCATTGGAAAAATTTCCTTGGCAGCTTTTTTAATGCTTTTTCCTCACATCTTCTAAATCATGTAATATTTTACCAGCTTATGAATAAATAGGCTTGCCATTTTCCTTGATGTAAATCTAACAGCATCAGCACTGAAGTAATTATCAAATCACAGGCATTACTCTACAGTCTCTGTAAATTCAAATCTCTTAGTTAAGAAAATATATCTAAGCACAAAAAGGTTGAGTAATACAGTACTCTGGTTTATAATGTCACCCCTCTCATTTTACTGGATATCACATCTCTCATATCTTTATCCTGTGACAAGTTTTGATATGTAAAAAGGGTTAATAAAATACTTACTAGATTATCTTTCCAAATATGACAGCTTTTACCAACGAACACTTCCGAAACTAAATCAAGACTGGAATGAAGCATCCTGGGGTTAAAGGTCTGAGAAAGAGGGAAAAAATCTAATTAAGAACGAACAATTAGCAACAATTATGCAACTAGCATAACTAAAGGTCCAACATGTATTTTAGGTGCTTATGTCAGAACTAAGCAATTATGCTAGTATGTAGAAATATCATTGCCCTTGGAAAATAAAGGCTTCTCTTTGCTAATTTAGGAACCTATGAAGTAGTATGATCTGATCTTCTACTGGTGATGTCAATGTTGTGTCACTAGCCTTGAGAAAAAGGATTAATTCCTTTATACCTCTACTGTTCGAAAGAGAATGGCCCTTTCTGCTTTAAGTTTTATACGTGTAGGAAAAAAACACTATTTTTTATATTGGGATATTTTTAAAGAAAGAACTACAGAGACATTCATTTAACTCTGAATATGTAAACATTTATTGTTACAGTCATCTAAATCCTTCCATCTATTACATTAATCCAATTCCATATTAGCTAATGGCAGCCTCATGTCCATTACCCTGTAAGAGGTTTGGACTTGCTTGCCAAATAGAGGCTTTCTTGGTACTTATTACGCTACTAAAGATTACTTCATAATTTCCCATTGCACAGTCCCAGTGTATTTTTTAAATGAATCACATTAAGTTTGCTATCTTTTTTTTAAGTATACCATTGATGTGAAACCTCTTACTGCAATTTAATAAGGAACAATAAAGAAAAGAGGCAAGATCATGAATTTATGGCATATTTCTTTGACTACTGCAAATCAACATTTCCTTATCATTTGCAACCCAGTAAAGTCAGCATGCAGTGTATAAAATACAACTGAAAAAGTCCATTGCAGTACATAATGGGATAAGCCTGACTTTTTGCCAGAAAGACTCTTGTTTTAAACAGGAGTTTCATTACCTGTTCCTGCATAACCTATAGCTTAGCTTTCGCTTTGTCTTTGCTTATGGTCCTCAAAATTATTCACCAATCCTGGCAGCCAACCTAGTCTCCTTTCTACTAAACTGTACATCCTACCTAAATACCTCACTCAGGTGATTCTTATTAGCTGCTTCCTGATATCAAAAGGAAAAATACGCGTGAAAACACACTGCTCAAATCCCAACTCATCCCATACAGGACTGTTTGCTACAGTCTACATCCCATACAGGACTGTTTGCTACAAAACATGGATACAAAACATTATGGATAAGAGCTAAGAGCGCTTCGCTCCTTCTCATGTGTAGCCCTGGGGAAGAATGTAGCTTATTGTTTGGCCTAATAATCATTTTGAGATAGTCTAAGTGTCTGGAATTATAGATTGTCTCATTCTACTTAGCAAATTCTACTGTCTTCTTCAGTTTAACAAAGATAAAAACCTGCTGTAATAGTTAGGGACTACCACTATGCTCTTACTAAAACAACTTCCCTCAGTGGATACTTTTCAATGATAAGTTATCAAAATATTTGCATTTCATTCCCCTTAGTGAGTGTATTAATTTGGCTTCTTGGGTACACTTTAAAATAACTGCTACTGTTCATCTGTTTCTAATTCTTTCTATAGGCCTTATTGTGCTCTAAATATCCTAGCATTTTTATGACTAGACTAGCAAGCAAATATACAAGGATATAAAACCACAGAAATGTCCTCATCCTTTCCCCAAAATTGTGTAAACAGTGTGTGGATATAGTTAATGACCCAAGCAGCCTAAGATAATATCACAAATTAGAATTCTAATAGATAAGCTTTAGATGCAGACTTATCATGTAATTATGTAATCATGTAATTATTATATAGTTGGAAAAATGGAACATTTTTATATGGCTGTGCTTTCTATTGCCTAGACTCTTGCAGTAATTTCTTTATCATTTAAATTCCTGGTGCTTTCTAGTTGTACTCAACAGAGAGGGCTCTGAATGAATGTTACCGACAAGGTGGCTCCAATGAGGAAGGGAGAAAGACAGCAACAAGAAAAACACACCTACAACAAATACGTATAAAGAGATCATGAGCCATAGGAAGTCTTTGCATTCTTTGCTGATGTGTTGCTGGCAAGCTTTTTTTTTCATGCATTTCAGCAGCTAATAAAGCTCCCAGCAGCCTAACAGACAGGAAACTGCAATAAACAGCAGGGTAACAAACCCTATGTGCCCGTTTCACCACCAGTGAGATCGGAATTAGGGAACAGCTGTTAGGGCACAGCTGTGCTTACTTAGTCGCACACTTCCTTAGCCATGCCATGTTACATGCTTCGTCCCCAAAGCCCTGGAAAGGAAATACAGTTAGTGGGGGAACAACTACAATAAAAGAAGCAACAACCTGTCCTAGTATTATTGCTATTGCATTACTAGTTGCATTAGTGCTGCATTACCAGCAACTGACAGAAAGCACAATCAGGGATGCTTTCACAAATATTTTAAACTCAGGGCTTCAAACAAATATCAACAGAACTGTATGTGAGTTCTCCTTTCTTCTTAGGCTATCCTCCTCGTCTCAGTGTTGGGTTCTGTTGAGGCACACTGCAGCACAAGTTCATCATTTTTCCTTTAAATTCAACCAAAATGAACTCGTGGGCTTTCCTGGGAGATCAGCTCCCAAGAGCCCTGCAGGCAGAGAGCAGCGCTGAGGCCTTCCCTCTGGTTTGCATGTACACCTAGCAGAAACAACCCCTTCTTCTGGTCTTCGGAGAGATCAGAGGTGCCCGGTCCACATATCTCAGCTGTGCCCTGTTTTCCACAACTGCCTCTCAGACAACAACCTGTCAAAACTGACACAGCACAGAAGACAAGAAGTAAGACAGTTACTGCAGTAAGTGCCTTGTCCTGCCTTGATTGATACAAGTATCAATCACGGCACTTCTTACTATCTGTGAAATTGGGAATAAGACAATGTGGACTACTGTAACTGTCATAACATTTTTATTTAATTGTGATCTTTCTTCATCCACTTTTTAAACAGGCAGCATTGTTTCAAAGCAGAAAACAGAAACAAACCTGTGATCAAACCCACACATTTAAAATAACTTAAATTAATACTTTTCCTTTGGAAGATAATTGAAATGCAAGATAAATAAAACATTATATTTTATACTGCTGGATATTCTCCATAAGCAGTTCATATCAAACAGTTTCTCCATTAAGTGTTTAGATAATCAATATATATCAGCTGAACTACTCTGGCACTGACTGAATCTTTAGAGGGACAAGTTGTCTGACCAAAAAAAATTCACTTAAGAATAAACCTATAGAAACCATTTGCTTAATGTTTATGCATTCTTAATCCCCAGTCCCCTTTGGGGGGGATTTTGGGGGAACACTTTCTCTCCCCCCTCTCTCAGCCCTGAGCTACAGTAAATTGGTTTTATCCGAGCAGGGCTGGAAGTCATTGGTGCCATTGCTTAGTTTAGCTAACAGTACTGAACAGCACTGTAAAATGCTAGAGATCATCTACAAAACCAACATCAGCCAACTGAGGCTAAGCTCCTGCGAACGCCCTCTGTAGAGCTGCACTTTTGCTCCTACAGAGCATGTTTATTCAGCTCACCATGGAGCTTCACTAAGGTAAATCTAACGTCTATGAATGTCAACACGCTGTTTGCACAAGAATGAGAGACTCTTGCTGTAGTGAAGAAATTCATCTAGATCAACAAAACAGAGGTTTTGGTTCAGAATTTCAGCTTGGTTCTTGGTATTGTAACAAGAGGTGTATCTAAAAGCTCATCAACCGATTCTTCCTCTATATTCAGTTTGTTTGTAAGCTAGGGGTTACCATATAGATTGACATAGCACCTAGAGATCCCATTGTACAACACTGCATGGATCAGAAGAGCAAAATGTAGCTTCAACTTAGAGACCTCATAATCTTGGATAATGCAATAAACAGGTCTGCCTTGCAATAAGTCTGCATAAACAGAACTGTTTCCTCTCTTCATACCATATTCCATCATAACTTCAAGTTGTTAAAGAACATAGTTATAATATTTAACATGACCTCTACAGTAAACAAGAGAGAAAATGCTGCATAGGCATTAGTTTTATGTTTAAAAAATAGAGTTCAAAAATCCATTTCCTTCTGATCTTTCCCATTAATACAATTTATTTATAAAATCAGTACCAAACACTTGAAGAATGCACACTCTACCTGCAATACATGAGCAGCTTTGACTATCATCTCTCTCCTAACCTTAACGTTGAACCGGTCAACCTTTGCAACTGTGTATTGGAGAACGTCTTCACTTTTTTGTCACTGCAATATTGCCAACTTCCATTATTTTATACCAAATCTTTTCTTATTTAGTGTCTACCATAAAACTTTAGTGTCTACAGGTGAACAATTAAATGAGAATGTTTCCCCTTTATACAGTCTTCGCCTCTCATACTTGCAGCAAAAAGCTTGAAAGCATGAATTATACTAGCTTAAAAAGAGCAAATAAAAAAACACTCAGAGGCATTTTTTAGTTAAATTCTCAGGACATTTAAGACAAGCCTGTAATCTGAGGAGAAGAGACAGGAGTCAGAATCGTGAATTCTAAATCCTTGAGGCTGACATATAAGAATCCCTCTTCACTTTCGTTCTCCTCATCCACTTTTCTAGGTTTGAAGTTTGCACGAGGAATGAAGAGGTCCAAATTTCTGGTAGAAATCATCTTCAGCACGAACCAGAGCTTCCTCATCTATGTAGACAGCTGCCCTCCTGGACGCCACAAAGTACTGCACTTTGCGCAGGCTCCATCCCATCACGTACTTCAGCCAGCCGCAGACAGCAGCTGTGGACCTGCCAACGCCAGCGTTGCAATGCACGTAGACAGTGTGACCGTTCTCAAGAAGCCCATGCAAGAGACACACAGCTTGGGGCAACATCTGTATTCTTCCTAAGATGAAAATAAGACACATTCACTTACATTTATGTTCATGGTTGAGATTATGTCTGTAGAGCCTTATGCACTGCTATTCACAAAGGCAGGCCAGAAAAAAAAAATCATTTTTCCTTTCTAACACCCTAAATAGGGAAACAGGAGCTATGTAGTTCGAGGTAGGCTATCTGGCAAATAGCTTCCTAAATAAGTTACAAACAAAGTTTTCAAAGGAGACTGTGGTTCGGAACGTGTGTATTACCATACTTTTAAAGGGTTCGGTTTTAAAACAGCTTAAGCATTGAATAGCCAGAATCTCTAATATCTTTTAAAAGCCTGCTGGATTTTACCTTTTCTTTTTTAATGACCTTCCACCCTAGTATTTGTTTCTTCTTGCATCATAAGTCCAAATGACACAACATCCATATAAATGGTCAAATCTTCTCTGAAAATACATTATGATTAACAATAATTGTGTGAGGTAATAATAATTTTCATAGGACAGAGATAAGCTGGCAGATTATATCAAACAGCACATCTTATACAGTACTGAAGTTAGAAAGTCTAAACACAAATGCTTGAAGCACTAGAGGACTGTGAAGCTACCTTGGTACTGCCACTTCCAAAACCTTATAATGGAGGTCAACACTTCAGTAATAATGAGGGAGGCAGAGTGAGTCCTTTGGAAATGAACACTGTTGCTACTCAATTATCTATCGAGAATATGGTTAAACAACACAGAATGGGCTTTCACTTCTAAAGTGATAAATATACCATGTTCCCAGATCTCTTTCTCCCTATAGTCCTGGGAATTGAAAATGCAAACCTCAAAGCCTGACTTTTCCCCATGTGCAGATGAACCCTTTCAAGTCCCTGTTTTAAGGCTTCCTGTCTTCCCTGACGTCCTATCACTGCTATTTGTGGTAGCAGCATTTCACTCTATTGAAAGTATTCTAGCCTGTTGATAGACTAGTCACATAAAAATATGCTTCTTTTCTGACCTCTGTGTTGAAAACAAGATTTTGTAAGGTTTTTAGCTGAGCCAATGGAGAAATTAAAAAACTGTAATTTATGTTATAAAATAATGTGCCATGTGTATCCTAAATTAACTGCAAGCCATTACATAAATGACCATATAGTGATTCAACCATCTGGGAAATCACAGAGAAGGAAAAATGTTTTTAGAGGGAAGGGAATGACAGAGAAAGCTATACGGTCCTGTCTCTCCATTTTAAGACAGCAAGGACACCAAGCTGTTGTGTTGTGCAAGCTTGCAGTCTTCCACCTACACAGCATATTTTCATTATACAGGCTGAATTCAAGTTGAAATCAAAAACAGTCAAGCAGCTATCAATGTCAGATGGCTTTAAACTCAAATACACATCTACTGCCAGCTAGGGAATACTAGGATGACCTCTCCACCTACAACAAGGAATACATAATTTGTTACAGACAACACTCAAAAATCACACCTTGTGCTCTTGCTACATTTTTACACAAGATTCACACACAAAAAAAGAAGCCAAGAAAAAGAGAAATTAGTAACTCAAAGGTTTTGCTACTGTTAATTTAGCTGCAAGACTGGTCTCAGCATTACCTTCAGTGCTCATGTCTGGGGTTGGCATCCAGACATAGGCAAGACCTTCCTCTTTATATAGTTTCATGAGGATTTCAGGGCTCATGGGTTCTGGGTAGCGGTTGCAACCCCAGGAATTCTGCACAATATCCCATTCGGTCTGGAAGTTCATTATAGCTGTAATACCCAGCTCGTGTTTTAGCTTGACAGTCACATGCTCCACCTGCCGAGGGCAACTTCCCAGCCAGATGTTTGGCAGAATTCTAGCATTGAGAAAACATTGTAGTTTTGATTAAAATATTTTTAACAGAGAAACTGATGAATTAAGTGGCATTCCAGGTTATCATCATTCATGCTTATCATCATTACATGAACAGCGTTAAGCACACTCTTCTCACGTCATACAATAAACAGCTTCTTCTTTCATTACAGTTTGTTTGGTGATGTTTGATGCTGAGAACCAAATTCCTAACCTACCACAAAGCGCCAGATAGTCTGAGAAAAAGTTCAGAGCATAATTAGTAGCACACATCTCCAAGGCACCCATCATTAATCTTGCACTGGAAACTTACTGACATCACAGATTAGAATAAGAAATCTTTGAAGATTTATGCAATTTGCACAAAACCAGACCTAACTGATACATGTAATCCAAAACTAAATTACTTCAGTAATAAGTCAAACGCATTGAGTTCTTCTAAACTTGTAGTTCGCATTATAATGGGAAAAGCAGGCAGAAGGAAAAAAAAAAACAGCTTAAGCTTAAGACAATCTTCTCTGAGAAAGTACAAAAATGGCGGAGTCTAGTGGAAACCAAACATAGAATTACAATATATGTCTACTTCCTCAAGGCTTGAAGAATGAGAATTTTTTCATAACTGTAAAATGGAATGGCATTCATACTTCTTGTACCTATCCAAATCAAACCTCCACGACTTCAGTGTTTTGCCCGCAATTAAGAAACAATCAAATATCTCAGCAGACTTTGGCATAAAAATTAACTGAAATATTAAGAGCATTTTTTCAAATGGGTATACTTAATCTGCACATGAAACTAAGCTGCTGTTATCTAAAATGGTTAATTTCTATGCACAAATTATTAGTGGACTACCTAATTTGTATTTTGTATGCATAAACTTCTATTTTGAACATGCAGTCTACAAACTAAACAAAACATGCACACACAAGTCTACACACAACCACAACATTATTCATTGCAAAAAAAGTGAGCCCAAACTACAGTGAAAGCAAGATCTTCAGAAATGAAATAAGTCTACCGTGTATCTCCTGTATTTTTTCCAATTTTAATCACAGGGACAAATGGGGGAACTTTTATTTTTATTGAGTAGCAGTTACTCACATAAGCAGCCCTTAATTCCGCTTGATAGGACTATCACAGTAATAAGTGCTTACTAGCAGTTAATTAAGCTCTGCAATTTACAATGATTAAATCCTGTTCCATTACTACTGAAAGGCTGCCATAAAGAAAAATTCACTCCAGGAGTTACCAATTACCAATATTTACTGTATTTCAGCTATGCCCATAATGAATGATGTACCAGCTACACAAACATTGTCTTTGACCTTTAAAGCACCTGTTTTAGTGAGGCAAAGAGCTCGATGACAGTGTAGTGTAACCAGATCCCAAACTGTCTATCATAAAGTGAATAAAATTGTGATAATCTGAGTGAATAGATTACATAGTGATTAGATAGATTTTAAAATGATCATTTCAACCATGTAGTTATGAATGTGAGGTCATTAGAAGAGATTTGATTTAGTTTAAGTATTCTGCATCCATGTCCTGGTCTATATTAGCACAAGTGTACTTCTCACTGTAATATTCTTAAAGCATTAAGCATGCCTCAACTTGGATCTCAGAAATTAAGATTTACACCTTAAAGTCATTTCCTTTGTTACTACGCTTATAACCCTGAACATTGCCTTTCTAAAGGGGAGATGCCATAGACTGAAAAGAGCTCTTATATATAGGCTATATTTTTACTCTTGATTCTGATAATCCTACTGTGGGTTTTATTGTGCTAAGTGCCAGGAATAACATATACTTAATAAAGCTAGAAAATGGTAACTTTGGTTTTACAGCTCTTTCTTGAACTAAAAGTGTGATTTTTAGTTTTCTTTTTCCAGTGTGGTCTTGCTTCTTTAAGTTGAGACTGTATTTCACCAGGTATCTATATTTTGGCAAGGACAGAATTTGGCAGGCAAGAGAGTCACATAACACTGTTTTGAGTTGTCCAACAACTGCTGTTTTCCAGCTCTTCTCGGGTTTGTTTTGTTTTGTTTTTCCAGCAGTAAATTAAGTGATCCTTAAAGAACATTCAAAAATTATGTGATTGGTAAGCCTATAATCTTTTCAGCACTTAATTCAACAAAATTCTACCCAGAAATCTGTTTTAGCATTAAAAAAATTGCACTTCCTCATTGTATATGTCAACCTCCTCTGTTAGCAAGGGCAGTAAACTATGCTTGGTCTTAGATGGCTGGTGGTCAATTCAGTTACAGCAGCAATGAAAAAAAAATCACCTAGAATAACACCATAAATATTCAGCTAACTTGCAACACTGAATCTTGTATCCTTTCTAAAAGTCCTTTCTTTAAAGCTAACTTCCACAAAGTTACTTACAGCCCTGTGCTTCAGTTACCCATCAGTAGCCTGGACATAATATTTACCTACCTCAAGGGGCCATCTGGGGATGAAATGAGCAAATGATGCTCAGATTCATGATAGCAAGGCCTAAATATTTACCTACATGAGTACCTACCCTAATCACTTGACATTCAGATCCCAGACTGAAGGCTGAAATGTTAAGAACCTGCCTTTTGGCTTGTAAATTGAGAAAACCAACAATGATTTATCACTAGCTACAAACAAATATGCAACACTGAAATCACTTGTATGGTTATTTTCCGGCTGTCATCACAACCTAAATTATTTTTAATAATACAGATATATATCACACTTGGCTACTTCCCCCAGGACCCTGCACAACCTAGATTAAATTAGAGCAACTCACTATGAATGTACCTGAAATAACAAATTCATCCCATTTAATCAATGCATATGCAAATAGTCTTCCCATCCATATGAAGAAAATGAGTCTCTTTATGGGGCAGATTCTCTTTTTTTTTTTTTTTGCTAGAAGAAATATATTCTCAAATAATGATGCATTCTACATTTCAATTTTAGACCTCCATATACTATACCAAAACTGTAGCCCAAGGGATCTGATTCACTGCAAGGGTGACCCACCTCAGAGGCATGTGGCTATCTACCAGACCACTGGGACACAGATGTCTGCTCTGCCTCGTAAGCAGCTCCTCTGTAACTTCTGCTCATAATGGTTTAAGGCAAACTGGCACCAATTTCATTTTTCCTTAAAATGCTGAGTTGCAAACAGGGATGATGCAGGTACCGCTTCAAGACCAGTTCGATCTCAGTGTAGTGGGAGCAGTTATCTTAAAAACTCTCCTAAAACCAGTCAACCCTTCTAAGGAGTAATAGTTTTTACAGAAATGGGTTGCATTCACGCCTTTGGGCAACACATTTCATTAGAACATCTATCGGACACAACATTTCAGAAGTCTATTTATTTCTTAAGTTGTCAACTTTAATCAAGAAAGAATACTTACTTTGCCAAACTAACATATTTTTTCACTGGTTATTGGCAACAGTGATCCATCAACCACTCTGTTTGTTTATATTGATAATATTTTTGACCAAGGTCCATCATATTATTTTAAATGAAAAGCGATGGATTCATCAAGGTTAACATTTATCTTCATGTTAAAGCTTGCCATTCACTTCAAGTGGGTGCACAACAGTCTTCCACAGATCCCACTAAGTCTCTGATAACAGAAAGATGAGTACTAATATATATACATGTAACAAAACAGAGAAATCTAGCTGAAACAAGAAACACAATAACTAAAAACGCTGTGTCCTCCCTTTGGACTTTTATTTCCTAAAGGTGGAGCATGCAACTACAGCTACATGTAACATGCAGCAAAACCTATTTTGCATTCTCAGAAGAGCAACCTGTGTAATTCAGGCTGATTTAGTCCTGGTGTTTTGTGTTGCCTGCACACATAGGCAGTGTTCCTTGAACTGAAGAAACACTATTACCCCGATGGGAGTACATGCAAGCAGCCAGAAGGGACTGCAGACCTGAGTGCAATTCAGCACTGCATCTAGTGAAGACTCCTTCAAACTGCAGTGCATTCCTGTTTCTTCAACTGATGACCCTGGAATAGGAAATGGTTCAGAATTTTCTGATAAGATGGGTTTGGATGGAAAAAGTTGATCTGTCTGAATCAAACTCTTGCAGTGAAAGATTGTTTTAGTTTTAATTAAACCAGAAAAGAATCTTAGCACATAGACTGAATGTCTGATAAGAAATAGAGACAGCTCATGTCAGCAAAGAACACAAAAGAAACATTCAAAAATATTGATTTGGGCATATTTAGAAGGAGAGTATAGGAAACGCCATCAGCTCCTTCAGCCTTGTCTTCTTTATGCCAGGTGTACCAAATCACTTCAGTCCTTCTTTGCTCATCATATACTCATAACATTTGATCCTTCTTGTTTGCCTTTCCCTAAGATGTTATGCCCAACACAGTTGAGAAATGAAGGCATACCACTGCTGAGCAGAAGCCAAGATTACTTATTTCTTGAGCCCTATTGGCTATATGCCTATTTATAGCCCTTGGCTTTTGCTTTTACAGTACAGTACTGCTGACCTATATTCAACACAGAAGTCTGTCTTGAAGACAAAAAGAAACTTAAGGAGAGAGCAAAAGTTACCTGAAACTCAGACCTATCTAAGATTCTATTGGCCACTACTCCTAACAGTATAAAAAGTAACTAGAAGAATATGCAGCATGGTAGAAATGAGATTCACAGTTGACATGCATATCTTGGAATAAATAATCCAAATCTCCCACACACATGACTGGGTTTTAAGTTAACTGTAGTCAGAAAGGGAAATGGTGCATAACTGCAATGATGCTCGATGAAAGTATTGCTTTACAGAGAGGTCAAAGTAAGCAGTAATATTAGTCTATACAAAGAAATGGACTGAAAATAATGGAAAACTTATAACAGCCTTCCAAAAAACCAATGATCTTCTTCCATGCACTCAAACTTTGAATTTTCTATTAACTATTCTATTAACTATCAAAAAAGATACAGTAAAAATGAAAACATTCAAAATATATTAGCTATGAAAATACTTCCAGAAGAGGA